TGTTAATATCGTTCTCTGTGTCAGTAGAGTTCATACCCTAATTTTATCTTAGACTGCTGCTGTTGCTGAACTTTTTTTTTTTCTAAAGTGATGTCTCTTTCTGTCTCCCTGCATCCCTTGTCTCATCTGTCACTTGCTGTCAGTGGTAGATGCATCTATTTGTCTTGCTTACTCTCTCATTCTCTGACATAAACATGACTCTTTCAGAGTGTGTGCTCTCTTTTCCGCTTTGCAACAATAAAACTGACAAAGGAGAGTTATGAAGCACAATATTTTTCCTCTTGTGATTTACCGTCTGCATGTAGATTCTATTATGCAACTCAAAAATTTGTCTTTTCAGGAATTTAGCTCATACTTCTGCTTGTGCTGGCTAAGGGGATTTTGGAGTTTTTGCTTTTTTTGTTTTTGTTTGTTTGTTTGTTCATCAAGGTGCTCAGTAACAATTTATAGAGACTGATTTCTGTTGCCTCTCATGTGATATTTATCCTCTTCTTTTCGAACAACAGCTCTTCCCATATATATTAAAACAGCTGCCTCATTAATATGTCTCATGCTTTGGTCGCATCTGTTTACTGAGTGAGAAGTTGTTGGTCATCCAGTCCATTATTTTAAGAACTCATGTTAAGAATATTAAGATAATTTTATTAGTAGCCCAATTACTAGGTGTTGAGCTACTCCTCAACTTAAATTCAGAATCAGCTGATGATGAGGACGATGATAAATTGATGTTGTGGTTGGTGGCTGTTGCCATGTAAGCAGATACTCTGTTGAATCAATGTTTGGCATCACCTAGAACGATTGGTGTGTTCAAAGTTATTGAAATAAGTCCCTTATGACTACAGGACATTTTTTTTATTTATTTTGTAGCTGCCAAATTGAAGCCTGGTCCAGCAAATATTGTTTTGTTAGAATTCTGTTTGCTACAACATCTAGTTATGTCACTGTTTTCAAATATTAATAAAGGAAGTTCGACAATGACCCAAAACAAAAATAACAATAAAAACAAATACCGTATTTTTCGGACTATAAGGTACACTGGATTATAAGGCACAATATTAATGAATGGGTCTGTTTTCATACATAAGGTGCACTGGATTATAAGGCACATTAAGCGAAACAAAACAGTCAGATAAGTCAAACTTTATTCATCTTATTCACAATTACTACATAAAATCAGTTTGAGGTCAGTAAGTACAACCAGAATTAATGCATAAGCTGCACCTGATTACAAGGCTCACTGCTGATTTGTGAGAAAATTAAAGGATTTTAAGTGTGCCGTATAGTCCAAAAAATATGGTAAAAATAAATGCTCTATTGATATGCCCCTGAAAAATATGCTTTATATGGGCAGACAATCACAACTTTTAGCCCCTTCTTAATTATACACTACTTGGACACCCCTTGTCTGTGGCATGAACATGCAACACTAGATGGTAAAGAAAAAAGTAAAACATGCTTCACCCAAAGAATCTGCTCTCATTTTTGCATTAATCAGGAATTAATGTAAATTGATTGGCTGTTTTGAAATTGCAACTAATCAGCCCATGTAAGACATAAAATATCACAAAAATAACCTGTTCAACCTCCTAAATTGCTTCTTGTTTATGTATGTAGATTTATTTAATTGGTATTCCATCAATCTTTTAATGCCCTTGCCACATTTGTTTCTTTGCATGAAGTTCTAAATATAATTTCCCCATCTGAGCTTTTGCAACAACAATTTGGCGTTGCTTCCTGTTGCTTCAATTGCATCCTTTCTATCCTTATTGTTATTACTGCTGCTTTTCTCACTGCACCAACCAGTCTCTGATACTTGTTTGCTTGAGTTTGCTGTATGAACCCCAGCTTCAGGGTTATTGAATACAGAAAGTTGTCTTGCCTCAACTCAAAAACAAAAGACATCAAGAAAAAAGAAAAAAAAAACCATCAGAGAGCATCAACTGCAGTGTTATATCCTCAAGCACCTTTTCATCTGACAAAGACTGTTCATAACATCCCTCATGTCCATTCCATTGCATTCAATGCAAAGAGACAGCAAACAAGCATGTAGACATACATCACAACACATCACAACATGCCTGCAAGCATGCTCACAGCCATCTCATGGTAAATGCATGAATTATAACTGCTCTGTGTCACATTATCTTCGTGCTGGTGATAAATTCCTTTGCATGCTACAAGATGTTACAATTTAGATCCGTTGTTCAGCAGGCTTGGCTTGTATCTAAATTTTGCTTCAGTGAATTCTTTCTATGTGTTGTTACTGACACTTTCAACACACACCTAACAGGAATAAAAATAGAGAGCTAGGCTGGAGCAGAATAATGGACACCTGATGTATTTATTTTAGATTTGCTTAGCTCTGAGTTGATGATATTCTGTTTATTACAAACGATGCAAAAAGACTGGTTCATGCATATATCACGTCTGGGTTGGACTATTGCAATGGTTTATTATCTGGGTGTCCATATACTTCTTTTACAAAGTCTTCAGCTGATCCAAAATGCTGCTGCCAGAGTTTTAATGAGAGTTTGTAATAGAGATCATATTTCTCCAGTTTTAGCTTCTCTCCATTGGCTCCCTGTCAAATTTAGAATATAATTCACAATTTTACTTCTAACCTACAAAGTTCTCAACAACCTAGCTCTATCTTATATTAGAGATCTTATTGTTCCTTATTTTACTAACAGAACACTTTGCTCTCAGACTGCAGGTTTATGTGTGGTTCCTACAGTTTCCAAAAGCAGAATGGGAGGAAGATCTTTCAGTCTATCAGACTCCTCTTTTGTAGATCCAACTTCCAGTCTCTGTCCATGAGGCTGACGCATTGTCTACTTTTAAGATTAGGCTTAAGTCTATAAGTTAACTTAACTTTAAATTTTTGATCAATTCTATAGCTAGTCTTGGCTTGGGTTTCCTGAGCTATCCTATCGTTGATGAGCTGATCAAGAAATTCAGCAGTTCATTGTTAGTTCTAGAATTGCGCCGCTCAAGGTGGCTGCATGTTGGAGCAGCTCTGTTACTTTCATTCTGAGATTTTGCTTTTGGAAACTTTAATTCCTGTTTTTTCTGGATGTAAATCATATTTTTTGGATTATTGTTTCCTCTGGTATCAGATGCTGTGCAGCCGGAAAGATTTTTACGGAAACTTTTTAAGTTTTGGACATTTGTTATGATGTGTAACTTTGGCAACAAGGCTGTTTTCTACAACAACAGCAGCTGATTAACATCTCAAAAGCTCAAATAATATCTCAACTATGGCCCCAACTCTCAAGTGAGTTGAAAAGGATGTTATGTAGACGCATTCTCATCTATCTGCCAGCTGTGCTCGAGTGCCTGACCACTGAGATCCTGAAACTAGCAGGAAACACGGCTCACGACAGCGGAAGGACAGGATCGTCCCTCAACACCTACAGTTGACTGTCCACAGCTATGAGGAGCTCGGCAGACTGCTGGGAGGAGTGGCCATCGCTCTGGGAGGAGTTCTGCCCGGCATTCAGGCGGTCCTACAGTCCAGGGGAACCGAGGAGCCAGCTGAGTCTGGGTGGACGGATCGGACGGCATCTGCAGCCAGTTTCTTAGGATCCACTGTGGGATGGACCTTTACAAGAGATCCTTCCTGTCTACAGCCATCAGTATCTATAACATCTCTTAATGAAATGAGGATAACGAGTTATAACAACAAAATAATTTCCCTTTGGGATTAATAAAGTATTTTTGAATTTGAATTGAATTGAATTATGGCTCAACAAAAAGTTCAGGGAACTTTCTTGGATTGGAAATGGTGCTATTTTTGGTGGTCAGAAGAAAAGCAGTTTTAAGTTAGGCCCTTTAACTGCTTCATTACATTTTTATTTTTTATTTTTCTTCTTCTTTCGACTGCTCCATAGCTCAGGGGTTGCCACAGTGAACTAACTCACATGAAGACTTGGCAATTGTTTTAACGCCGGATGTCCTTCCTGATGCAACCACAGAATACCGAGATACCATATGGGGAGCAGAGAGCTGCCAGGGCACCCAGGGCAGCAGATGATGGGCGTTAAGGGCTTTGCTCAAGGGTCCAGGGTGGGACAAATGAGGGTGGGGACAGGTGCAGGTGTTTAACCTTTTCCACACACATTTTGATGTTGTCAGTCAGGGGAGTTGAACCAGTGACCTTACGATCACAGGCCCACCTTCTCTAACCTCTTTGCCACCACTCTGTATATTTTTTGAAAGAATGCATGTTACTCGCCACCTTGCATGTCTGGATTTTAAACAAAGATGTGACGTGATCTGTTAGCCTTCAGACTATGTGGTGGGGATGAGTCTCAGCTACTACCATAAGTTCAGCCTAATATTTATAAAACTGACTGAGTTATAGCATTTTTTTGTGTTTGCTAAGGTTGATTAGCTGTGGCGACCTTCTTGAATTAATTAATTCAAGTATATTTTATCAAGGACAGAACAATAAACAATGTTACATGATAAAAACGAAGCAACCGTTGTTTTGTATGAAGGTTTTCTAGCCACAGATTAGTTTGCAAACCCAGTCCATGGTTGGACTTTAAAAAAAAAAAAAAGCTAAAATAGAATTAAAATTAAATGAAAATTAAACAGTCCCCTCACACATGCATGGAAGTGGACTGACGCCAAGAGTTATTTAGTTGTAGATTTAATGATTGATTGATGATGATTGTTTATTGTTTATTAACATTATTTATTGAGTTGTAGCTATTACCATTATTGCTGCTATATCCTAAGAGTTTGACTAAAATCTGTTCATTAGTTCTTGAGATATTTTGCTTTAAAGACAGACAAACACACACACATAGACAAATACATTCCTATGATCACCCATGTTTCATGGTTGGCGAGAATGAAAATACATTTTTGTAAGCTTAATTTGCGCAACACCTTCTGAAAGTCTTTCTTTTATATCTGTGGTTTCATTTTGAAATGGAGTGATGGTTGATGCATTTAACTGATAAATCGAATGTTTATAGATCTGTTGTACTCACTTGTTCTGGTGTTTCGAGCCCTGTAGGTGTGCATGGTACTGTTCGATGGAGTTGAGGACCATACTGCAGACACTGCATGAGAAACTTCTGCGCAAAGCTGGAGTGTAACAAACACAAAACCACGCAGAGGTTATCACGAGGGCAACTTTGAAATGAAGAGGTCGTTAAAGTCCTTAAAAACCTCTGTCATCATTATCAGACAAATCCCAAACACGTAAGAATGAGGCCAATATGAGCAACAATAAAAATATGGACTAAGTTGTTTTTTTTCACTCACTGCAGTGCAGAGTAATTTTCCTAATTAGAGCACATCTGGAAAAAGATATGATTAGACTGATCATTAGCAGAAAACCAGTTACAGTTTTGGATCGTTAGATTAGTGCTTCTGTCTTTCTAGTGTCTGAATGTATGTATGTGTGTGTGTGTGTGTGTGTATATGTGTGTGGGAGTGTGTACGGGTGTCTTTTTGAAACTTGAACTTGAGCAGGGTTCAGCAGAAGAATTAGGACGCTAAGAATAGAATTTAAAAAAACAGCGCAGTCGATTGTGCGCTTGTTTTCTGCTGCGAGTCGCTGTGCGCGCATCTTTATTGTGGCTGTGAATGCATGCTTTTAAATGGTGCAGCTCAGACACAGATGTTCACTAATTAGAGGGTTTGCAGGTGGTCTCACTGCAAAATAGATGGATTTTGCAATACTGATAGACTGGGTTGAAGAGACATTTGGAGGTGCATGAAGTTTAGATAAATGACAGAAAAAAAAAAAGGAAATTTACAAAGAAAAGTAAGATGTTTTTATACAGACACAGAAGCGGAGACAAGTAATGAGTTGTTGGCATAGCAGCACAATTCTAAAAATGTCTGTCTTTCATGAGGGCAGAGGAAGCAGAGGAAATGCACTCTATGTCAACGAGGATGGGGCGATCAGCAATGTGGCACAATTGTCTGTGTAATCATGGTCAGAGCAACAATGAAGCGTTATTCTTAGTCTCTAATAGTTTGCAGAAAAACAAGTTCTGGGGTTCAAACAGGTCAGAAATGATCATCGTTGAGACTTCATGATCATGTGACAAACAGTCAAGCTTGTCTGTCAACAACCCTCCATCTTGTTTGTGCTTTATTTATATGTTTGGAGCATTTGTGTGTGTGTAAAACACATGATGAGTGCAGCAAGTGGAACTGGGTGTGTTCGCTTGTGTGTGACTGCCCTTTCCTCCGCTGTCATTACTGTCTTGGAGATTTATGACTCGAATGTGTATTCTGTCACCTCTCGACCTTCTGCGGCGGTAATTGGTAAAGAACCATGTTGCAAGATGAAGATGTAATACAGTCAGGAGTGGTGGGAGGTCATTTACACTAGGTTGGGGCTGCATAATGTGGCATATCTACTTCATGTTGCCTCAAGAGTTGCTCCGGCTGTGACAGGGTTGATTAAAGACAAGCAGTCATTAAAAAAAAAAAGACATGACTGAATTAACAGCCTGGAGTATCCGCAGTCTTCGCCTAAATGTTGATATTTTGCAGCCATTAGGAACTAATAACTAAGTGTGTGTGCATGAAAGAGAATCTAAAAAAAAGAAATGATAGATCTTCTGCCAAATCGTCATTACTTAAGTTGTTTGTAAATGAAAGACGCTGCTAATTGAGGAAGAGGTACGTTGTAAAAAATACTTAATATTGTTATTCTTTTCCTTGTAATTCTATATTGCTGCAGGGATTATGCAAATATTTCTATTTTTGATTATTCAAATAAATATGTTGTTCATGTGTAGACAGATTTCCTTCTTTTAGCCTGACTGATGTCGCCTCCCCACTTCCTGCCCGGGTAGCACTGATGTGCAATATGCTGTTGCTTTGTGTCAGTGCCAGTTGTCTAAACACAAACACACAGAAGCGAGCAGACAATAACTGGTTCTGGCATTTAAGTTCTGGCCTAAAACCACGCTGTGCCCTAATCCATGCTAATTACATGCAGTCAAAGTGTGCGTGTAAAGTGCGTTACAGCATACAGCTCAGGCTTGGGAATGTACCATAGCTCGTTTCCGTTAGCATGAGCAGTATTTGTGAGGGTGTTTTTAGCCTTGTTAATTACACAAGAAGATATGCCAGGGTGAGAATAAAGAGGTGGGTGAGATAAGCTAAGGCAGTGGGTGTGGAGTTGTGACTGTTGTTTCTTGTGCAGAGCCTTCCAGCACTGCAACCACCCCTTGTTTGGAGTTGTGTTAACGCCTGTATAAAAAGTAATGTGCAACATTTTGTGCTTGAAAAATCCAATAATACACTATATTTATAATTAAAGACCTAATAAGCTATGAAGGAATGCAACTCTTGCATTTTTTCATGTTAGAGTTTAAACTAAGGGTAACTCAGGGTAAGAAATAACCAAGTTACAGCCATTTTGAAAAAACGTGTATATACCATCGTACTACACATTTGGGCGCGGCTGTAGCTGAGTAGTTAGAGCAGATGTCCTCCAATGCAAGAGATGGGGGTTCGATTCCACCAGCAGTCACATGCTGAAGTGTCCCTGGGCAAGACACTGAACCCCTCATTGCCTCTGATGTGTGTCCCATTGGTGTATGAATGTGATAAAGCACTGATTATTCTCTGTATAGATCTAGTAGAGTGCTGTATGAATGGGTAAATGAGGGCCCAGATTATGTTGTAAAGTGCTTTGAGTATCTTGAAAAGGTAGAAGTACAGTCCATTTACCATTTACATAATCTCATGCAAGGTTGGAAATTGTCACGCTCAACAAATGTTTTGGGAATGACTCTCAGCTAACATCAAATTGTAACTCAGTATCAATTAAATGAATTAAAGCCAGTTGTGTATTGGTTAATGCCAGTGGTGTAGTTTATGTGATACGAAGGTATACGGAGTATACCCACTAGAAAAGCTTGGGCATTTCAGTATACCCACTTAAAAGTGCCCAATGATACGAGCCCATGTTACGTATCATTGGCAACGATACATGACATGGGCTCATGTCATTGTCAACACATTTAGAACATTCTATAGACACACTGTGTTGGTTCAACTTGATTTTTGTATAATTACTTCTGTACTTACTACTTAATACTTGAACATATTTTCCTTTGATACTGTTGTATAAATTCTATGTTTTTAATACAAAGTCAACTGTTATAAAAAGGTTGTTGTGCATTTATTCAAATAAAAGCATCAGAGAAATTTAAAAATGTTCAATATGCTTAAAAATCTAAATTAATCAACGAGTACATTGTACTAACCTGTATACTTTGGTTTCTAAGCACAGTATACCCACTACAAAAATGTAGACTACACCACTGGGTAATGCCATTTAGCTGAAGTGGCCATCTTGAATTAGATTGACTTCACAGGTTAAGCAGTGGCAGATGTGCATTAAATGATTACTTCCTGCATGTTTCATAAAAAGTCAGCCAATGGGTTATGAGATAACAAACACACAACTGCATAGACATGGGCAAAAACCTCACGTCTTCCTTTGCCTTTCAGTGGTGGGTGATAAAAAGAGGGTTGTTACAAATACGTTTTTTTCTTGCTATGTATTTCTCATGTATTCAGTTAAATTGTAAAATCCTTTATGCTAGATTAATGCTTCTGTTATGAACATGATATTTGGGGTTTGTTTAATTTAGAAACTCTGAAAATCTGCAACTATTAAGCCTCAGAGGTATTTCAGGTGCCACTTTGCATTGACAATCTTGTGTTACATGATTGCAGTTGTTTAAATGGCGTTAAATAAAACTGTGTGGGTTATACTGTACTTAGGCACAATGTACAACCAAATCATAGCAGGCAACATTTAAATAATTGCATGTTTCAGTTTCTGATGTTTTTATGTTTATTGTTGCATATATATATGACAGGAACAGAAAGTCTCTCCATAAAGTTCATTCTTTTTTTCTTCTTCAAAATTTATGGAGCTCCTACCATCCCAGTGAATTTGGGTTGTGGTACACCACAAGTGTGCCACATGATGTGAACATCTAAAAATGACCCACATTCGAAAAGAAAGTCATTGAAACTGGATCAAATCCAGCAGTGAGCTAAAGCTCAACGCTACTTCTCCCAGGAAAACAGTTAAACACTAATTCAGAGTCAGAGTGAATCCAAGTGGAATTTCATCAGCTAAATTTGAAGAACTTAAAGTGGAAATTAATTTTGCAGTCGATGTAACAGAAAGCGCAAACACCATCTGTTTTAAACAATGGAAATGGAAACCATACAGGGAAACTGGGCTGAATTCAGTTAGGTCAGACTCACATGTCCAATTTAATTTGATTCCCAACATGAATACTTATCATCCTCATTAATTTAGAGTAGACAACCAGCTATGCTTTCATATAAATAAATAATAGCAGGCTAGATATGACTGCTATGAGAAACCCTTTACACATGAACAAAAAAGAGCACAGATTAAAATATTAATCTTAAAATCCCATACGTTAACATAATTTTGATTCAGATAGTAGATTTAATAAACCCTTAAGGGAATAATCTTTATGAGGGATTTCTTTAAAATTAAAAGAAAAGGCTTTGTGATTTGATGTCCAACTCAACCATCTACAGTGCCTGGAGCTGATCACCAGCGTGCATGTAAGTGATGTGCAACTGTGTTACAGGGAGTGCTATCGTCTGGGAATGGGGGCCATCTCTGTCCCAGAACTCAGGCGCAGTCATCAATTACACACACTTTTCTCTCCGCTTCACTACCAAACCCTCTCAAGTCCTCACATACAAACACACACGCGCGCAACCAGACAGACACAATGCCATCCTAGTCGCTTATCTCACTGCTTCGACTTCTTTGCTCAATCTCCAGGGAGAAAAGACAAAGTGCCGAGCCCGTCTTCAGGGGGTTTCTACTCCTATTGTGATTTATGTAAAGACATAAGAGAGCCAGTTGGGCTCCAGCTCTACAAAAGTGGCCACACCCTCGGTGACTCTCCTGTCCTCCTTTGTAAGCCATCTCTGAGGATTTCAGTGTGATTTTAGCTATGGATTATATTCACTTTAAGCTTTGTGTGCTCAACTGTACAAGAATAAAACAAAAAGTAAGAAGTGGCTTTCATATAAGTATTGGGCTTATTTAG